GCATTAAGGATTCAAGGGTCATCTTGAAGTCAGGTTTGTACACACCTGCCCTTGTGAGAAAGCACTATTGGCCTCAGCAGACACATTGTTATCCTGCTCTGCCTCCTCATCAAGACCTGTCAAAAAAGAAAACTAAGGGTTATAGGCACAGGCCTCCCCCTCCTTTGACTTCAGCTCCAGCTCCTGGCCCTTCTAGATACCTTGGAAGTGTGAAGCAACCATTTTGATGGGTCAGTCGAGGACGCCATACCAGTCTCCATATTTCCAGACCCTATCTCCCTGCATTTGCAAACTGTCTTTCCCACCTCCTCTGTGCTTGATTCTAAATTACTACAGACCAGTGGATCTTGAGCTCTGTAGAGGTGGGATATATCCTCCAATTTGTTTCCATCTTTCTCTCCCTCCCTCTCTCCCTGTCCCTCTTCAGGGACCACTCTCACAAGCAGCTCCTTCTCCAGGAGGTACAGTCTTTCCTTCAGACAGGTGCCACGGAGGAGGTTCCACAGTGTCACAGAGAGAAGGGGTTTTACTCCTGCTATTTCCTAATCCTGAAAGCAAAGAGCAGTCTCAGACCAATTTTAGACCTGCGTCAACTCAACAAATTCTGAAAAAAGATAAAGTTCCACATAGTCACCCTGGCTTCTATTGTCCTTTCCCTGGATCCTGGAGACTGGTATACCACCCTCGACTTATAAGATGCCTACTTCCATGTGGTGATCAATCATTCTCACAGGAAGTACATTAGATTTCTTGTCAATTGAAATCATTACCAGTTTACCATACCACCATTTGGCCCATCAGCAGCTCCCAAGGTTTTTATGAAAGTTCTACAAGTAGTAGCTGCCTTCCTCAGAAGATTGTGAGTAGAAGTTTATCCCTACCAGAATGACTGGCTTGTCATGGGCTGATCCAGGGTGCAGGAACTCTTAAGTGTGTTTCTGATCCAGTCAACATTCAATTCTCTGGGACTATTAGTCAATACAGAGAAGTCTCTCCTGTCTCCAGTCCAGAGAACAGAGTTGATAGTGGCTGTAGTGGACTCCTCTCAAGCCAGAACTTTTCTTCCAGACTTGAGTTTTCAGTCAATATGATCAGTTGTTGTAGATCTCAAAGCTCACCTGGTCACAATGACACAAAACTGTTTCAAGTTCCTGGGGCATTTGGTTCAGTATACCAGATTGAGCCTCAGAATTCTACAAGGTTGGCTAGCCTCAGTCTACTCACCAAGCTGTCGTCATCATCTAGACTAGACTCAGTGGGGAGGGTGCCCTTTCACATCCTTGCCTCCCTAGATTGGTGGACAAGCCTGGCCAATGTATGTGTGTTCCCTTTGCCCGCCCGGAACCAACACTCACATTAGTAATGGACACTTCTGCCTTGGGGTGGTTGGGGCCCATCTGGATTGTGTACAGACTCAGGGTCTATGGTCTGCAGAAGACTGAACTTTATACATCAGATTCAAAGACCTGAGAGCTGTCAGGTTGGTGTGCCAAGTTTTTCTGCCGCACATCAAGAGAAACAGCTTGTTAGTCGTCACAGACAACACAGCAGCAACATTCTACCTCAAAAAGCAGGGAGAAGCCCCACTCTTCTCTGCTCTGTCAAGAGGCAACTCTGCGTTGGGAGATCTGCATTGCCAATTTGATAGATATAGAAGCTTCTTACCTACTGGGGTCCAAAACAATCTGGCAGAATACCTGAGCAGATCATTTACGAATCACCAGAGTGGTCTCTTCATCCCGATGTCACCAGATGTGGACATCTTCCAATGGTGGGAGTCTGCCCAGGAAGACCTATTTGTGACAAGGATCATCAGAAAGCGTCAGCATTTCTTTTCCCTGCAAGGTTACAGCCCCCGTTCCCTGATAGATATATTCTTACTACCATCGTCAGACAGGTTCCTCTTTGCTTTCCCACCAATCCCACTCATTCAAAAAGTATTACTGAAAATAAGACGGTATCAGGCCAGAGTCAAACTCATAGCCCCAGTACAGACTTATTAGCACTGTTTCTCCACTCTCCTGGTGCTTTCATTGAAACCTCCAGTTTCACTTCCACTAGACTTGGATCTTATCTCCCAAGATCATGGTCTGCAATCTCTTCATTTAATGGATGCTCCTTGGCTAGATATTAGGGAGCAATCTTGCTTGAAAGATGTTCACGATATCCTTCTAAATAATAGAAAGCCATCTACTAGGGCTACTTACCTTTCAAAGTGGAGACGTTTTTCCATCTGGTCGTGCCTTTCTGGAGTATAGTCATCCTGTTCTTCAATTCAACACATACTAAATTACTTATTGTACCTGAAACAGCAAGGATTGGCTGTTACTTCTATCAAGGTACATCTGGCAGCTATTTCAGTTTTCCACCCTAAGGTGGATAATTCGTTAAGACAATCGAAGTGAGTGGAATGAGCTACTCCCCTATATTATGATGGTCTTTTGGAGCAGTGTCCAGTAATGTAGGGGCTATACATTCTATGTGGTGTTATTTGGTCAGGAGACCTGCCTGCCACTTGAACTTATATCTGGGATAGATGTATCAGAAGAGTTTGGCAATCCATCTGAGTATGTCCTACAGGTAGCCAGGTGCTTGAGTTCTGTGAGCCAGACTGTTAAGAGGCATCAGGGTAGAGCCACACAAAGACAGAAGGAATACTATGATCTCAAGGTCACCAGACAGATGTCTGAGCCTGGAGAGTTGGTGTGGGTGTGAGAACAGACTAGAAGGAAGGGGCAGTGTCAAGTTTATTTATCTGTTTACAGTCATCAGGAAACTATATGGGGTGCTATATAAGCTGTCCTCAGAGATGTGTGGACAATCTTTCATGGTTCATTACAATCATCTGAAGCCCTCTGTGAATTCATGGCACAAGGACACTGATCATGCACAGGAGCACTGGGTGAGATACTCTTGGGGTCCCCTATTACAGCCCCGGCAATTCCAACGTGCAATCCCAAGGAATGTTCCTGAGTCAGAAAGCCTAGAGTAGGTACCCCGGCTCAGTGAAGATAGGGATAACGAGGGCGTGCAAACGCTCAAGGTGATTTCAGGCCAGGGCTCAGCAGGAGAGCATTCCTGAGACCCTGCCACCCCCCTGGCTCCAGTCTCAGAACTCCAGAGCAGACCGCCCAAGTAGCTTAAAGAGTATTTGAAGTAGCTTCAGCCGGATTGGGGGCGGGGGCAGGGGCAGGAGGAATGGACAGACGCATCCTTTTAAAAGTAGGGGTAATGTAATACGTCAGCACATGGCACCTCAGTGCGAGCAGCCAAGTGCTGGAGGATCAATGGCCTAGAGGGGCAAGAAGTGGGAGGATTCCAGGACAGTTAGGAGGAGTCAGGGAGGGGGGTGAGAGTGCCATCTTGGCAGGAGTGTGGGCGTGGGGGCCATGTTGGAAAGGAAGGACTGTGTTTCCCTAGATGTAGCTGTATGTGAGCCTGGGAAACAGGACATGGGATGGGCACTGCTAGACTGGGCCTGATGGTGCAAAGTTATACTCGTGTATGTCCTGGTGGAAGGGGGAATGCTGAGTAGCGGAGAAGCAACATACCCCACCACGCTAGAGGTCCAGACTGAGCAGCCCCTGAGCTGCTACCACAACTGGCGAGGGCATCTCAGTTTTATGTGCACCACTGGTGGGATTAGGTTTTGTGCCCCTGTCAAGGCTGGATCCCCACTTTGAACTTTAGGGTTCAAATGTAGGG